GTTATCTTTATGTTATTCTAATGAAACTTGGATGAGCTGCTTTTTACTCTTCTCTGGGAGGATTGCTATAGGAAGAAGCCCAAGGTCACTTGCTTCAAAGTCTCTGCAAATTAGAATCCAGTTGTGTTTGGTCGGTAGTCTCTAGAAACACTCCACTCTTAAAGTAGCTGCATTAAGAAAAATACATGAGAGAGCCACAGGCTGTAGTGAGCTTACTAGATCAGCTGGATGCAAGTATTAAACAACAGTTGTTCTTTGAGACTGTGATAGTCGTTGCAGTCTGTAAGTCCACTTACCGTTGGCAACTGGGACCTAGCAAACGTGACTAATAATGGTAGTTACAGAATGTTTTTCAGATCTCATGTATGGGTTACAATGGGGAATCTGTTTCTCTCATTTTTACTGTGAATGAATAGAGCCCACAGCTAGCTGAGCAAGTTGGACATTCTGCTCCATGACATCACCAGAATTAAAATAGAATTTTAATCCTGTTACAGTTATACACCTGAAAAATACCCCACTGCAGGATTGGATGAAAACTACTGCAGGAATCCTGATGGGGATGAAAGCGGACCCTGGTGTTACACAACAGATCCTGCTACCAGATTCGATTACTGCAACATCCCAGAGTGTGAGGGCCAGGTCACGCACACTGGAGAAGGTATATTTATTTTTCAGGGAAGGAGTATTTGAGTAAGTAACATTATTCCTGCTATTTGCTCTTGCTTTATTATTGCGGATTTATTTCAAATGTAAATTTAGATCAAGATGGAATTTAAGAAGTTCTCAAGACAAAGATTGTTTTCCTAATTGGATCCAGTTATCAAAATAATTTTGTAAATATGGAGGAACTGAAAATTTTTAATCATTTGCTGATATTGTCTTGCTCTTATCCCTAGCAATTTATTTCATTTTATCAAGAGTAAAGCTTGACCCACCTGCTGTGTTACATACAGAACTCCCATTGCTATCAGTGCACAGAGATAGGTGGCAAAGTTCTCCCTCCAAATGACACGTATCTCTAAAGCTTGATTCATTTGGCTAGGCTGTAATGCATGGTCTTTTGGATTCCTTTCATCATTAGCTGGAGAAAAACCCTCTAGAAGAGCAACAAATTTATCTTCTTTCTGTTTTCCTTTCAGTGTAGCCTTCCATGAATTGATCAGGACCAGAATTCACGGACTGGTGCGAAACTTGCTTTGTTTTCATTCTGCCTAGGCCCTACAGGGGAGTGCATGCACTGTAATGGTGAAGACTACCATGGAGAAGTTTCCAGGACAGAGTCTGGGCTCGAGTGCCAGCGCTGGGATGCCCAAGAGCCTCATATGCATGGATTTACACCGAAACAGTGAGTCACACCCAGTGCCTAACTCATTCCTGCAGCACCTGAGAGTCGCTTCCTGCAGACAGCCTAATTGCTACAGCCAGCCGTAGAGTTGACTCACCAGCTTCTCTTTCATTTCCAATCTGCAGCTTTCCAGAGAAGGACCTGAAGATGAATTACTGCCGTAATCCTGATGGGGAACTTCGGCCCTGGTGTTTCACTACCAGCCCGACTAAACGCTGGGAATATTGCAACATTCCTCGTTGCAGTGAGTCTGATTTCTTGACATCACTCCATGGGGTGGCTCTTCTCGTTAAAATGATGCAGGGACAGGAAAGACAAGAAATCACAGTTCTGAGTAACCTGAGGAAATTATTGTGAACCAGGAAAAACGCACACTAATGAGGAGAATCGCTCACTAAGTTTCTGTTACATAAAATCAGGTAAGGTCAGTGAGGATGCAGGTGTCAAAGTGCAGTAATGCCAGAGATGTTATGGAAACCCTGATATGGCTTCAACCACCCTTCTTTTCAAGATACCTGAAAGGCAGGGCAGTCTCTAGCCATACTGTGATATTTTACCCAAGTTTGGCCAGCACAGCCAGCACTGCCTTTTTCTTAGTGAGGGATGAATCCTGAGAAACAAATTCAGGCCTCAGAAGAAATCTTGAGTTATCAGTGAGCTAGCTTAACCCACTAAGCTGACGACACTAGATATGGACATTGCTATTTGTAGAACTGGATGTACTTTGAGAAAAAAATTTGTGTTTTTATCTCTGGAGCTTCCTTTCTCATGCATTGGCATTTGCCAGTGCTGTAAGCAGCAGCACGTGTTTGCTAGAGGTAGTTCACCTCAGCATGCTCAGTTACAGATGGAAGAATGACTATTTATAGGCTTCTCTATGATAAAGTAAATTGTGCAAGTTACCATAGCATTTCTATTTTGTGCTTAAAACTTTAAGAAAGTTTAAAGAACACACCAACCTTTTACAGTCATACTTCTCTCCTTGAGAAATTCCATATACAGAGTATATAAAATAGCTATGCTCTGTAGGTTTGTTTTCTCTTTGCCCTCTGCAGGTTCTGTGCCTCTGATCATTACTCTTACTTTCTTTGCTTTTCCCCACATGCCAGACCAAGTCACTTTCTTTCACTCCTCCTTCTGCCCTACTTTCCCAATTCACTGACTTCAGAGGCTCAGCTCTGAAGGCTGTTGTGCTTTATCTCGTAATTTCTTCTTGGCCCTTATCCTTTCTGCCCTTCCACCTTATCCACATGCATTATATTAATGTGCTCCCTTCATCCCACTTGGTTTTACAAGACTGCACAGGACTGCTTACTGCCTTTCCAGCTCTGCTCTCAGGGGATTGTAGGCACAAAGTCTGGCTTGACTCAGCAAAGTTATTTACTGGCTGCTGTTAAAGGGCAGACACAGGACATCTGTCTGGCAGCCCAACTGCTTGTGAAAACGTACACTTTGGTTTTGCCATGGCTTTCAACCAATGTCACCTCTGCTGAAAGAATAAAATGCATATTCAACGCTACGGAAAACAAAAGTTTTCTGAATATATTTGAAAGCACTGGCTAGCTGTGTTTTTTCATTCCTTTTAGTTTTTTGGTTTTTTTTTTTTTTTCATCTTGTTACAGCTACACACCTGCCAGTCTCTGGCCTGGTTTCCCAGTGTCTTTCGGGGAAAGGAGAAGACTACCGAGGCAGGATAGCCATCACTGAATCGGGAAATGCCTGCCAACACTGGAACATGCAGTTTCCTCACAGACATGGCTGGATTCCTGACAGATATCCCTGCAAGTACGCTGAGCCTCATCATTTTAACAAATGCCAAAGAACATAGCTATTCCTTATGGATCCAGATGCAGAGGCAAGAGGAGCACAGGTTTTCCACAGTTATGTTTTAAGCTGTTTTCTCTCCTTTTGTCAGCTCCCATTACTTCTGATCAGATCTTGTTCTTAATTTTTTTCAATATTAATTTTTTTACCAGCTACTTGTCTAACTTGTCTCCTCCACATCCCACTGCAGTTACAAGTGTTTACTACATTTATGTTAAAAATCTCTTGGCTGTGTTTTGGCACACTTCCAATGCATTACTCTTCTGAAGAGTGATGGTCCAAGATGCTCCAATACATCCGAGGCCAGAGGAGCTGGGTTTGCAGACCATTATCAATGGGCAAGGGTAGCCGGGACTGACCAGGCTTTTAGCTCTGTATTTTGATCTTCTGGGTTGTGAAATGCATCCTGCAAGTTTCCCTGGGTGTGTGAAACCCCGTCCATCATACAAGGGCAAAGAGCAGCATGCACCAGTGCTCATGTGTACATGCTTCCCGGATCAGTCTGTGACATCCAGCCTCGCCTGGTTCTTACTGTAAGCGTCAGATACACCACTGGCTTGTGTCTTGAAGTCAGCTTTTACTGCCTTATCTTGGCCTCAAAAACAAGAGAAGAAAGTGTAAGCACTGGAAAAGCTCTTCATATATCATCAGCATTTAGACTGTAAACTTGGAGACTGTTGACTAGTCCCAGAATAGTGGTGCATGAGGTAATTCATCTCCAAAAAGTACAAAAGGAACCACTGAGTTGAGTTCTGCATGCAGTAATTGTTAATAGTCTTGCACACAGCTCTTCTGGATTTCTACGAGTAGTTTAAAGCCGTTATTTCTCTTTCAGGGGCTTAGAGGAAAACTACTGTAGAAACCCTGATGGAGAGAAGAGGCCTTGGTGCTACACCATGAACAGCAGCCTTCGGTGGGAATATTGCATGATTCCCCGCTGCGGTGGGACAGAACAAGGCATTGCTGGTATAAGTAGTGGAGCATACTTGAGATAAGGAGTTAAAAGCAGTGAGAGACTTGCTGCTTGTCATTATAAATGGTTAAGCCTTTTTTGAGTCACTTTGTCACTGTTACTAATGCAGTTTTTCTGCTTGGCATGTTACAAAACATGCCAAATATTGGATTTTCAGTGGTTAAGGAAGTGCAGAGAAGGATGTAAACCAGCAGCTGAACCAACAGAAGAATTACAGGATGAAAGAGGTTTATTTTTTATTTTTTTTTCCTTTTTTTTCCAAAGGTAGGGCATTTTTAGCAAGTTAATTGAAAAATTAAAAACAGATAAAAAAAATTAAAAAGAGATGAAAAAGTGCTAAATAGAATGAAGTTCTATTTTTGGAAAGTAACCACAAAAGAGAGGACAGGTGCTTAACATAACGTCAATTTTAGAAATATATCAAGGGCAAAATCACTAGTGGCTGATCTTTGAGGATTTTTAAGTTCAAACATGCTCACATATACCAAAATGAAACTGAAGAGCGAACCTTCCAGTGAAGGGCATCTGACATATGAAGGTAATGTTAAAGCTTTCTAAATATCTTTGGACATGCCCTTCCACTTTTCATGCTGAGCGTGATGCTCTCACTGGACTCTGTCTGTATAAACAAGTAATTCTTTTTTCTCATCCTGTGTGTTTGATGCTTTCTTGTGCCTACTCAGTAAGAACATAACATTCTGGTGCAAAAGACCAGTTTCTGTTGTTTGCTGCAGATGTGCCTGTGCAGGTTCCCCTGACAGAGGAGTGCTATCAAGGCAAAGGCCAGAATTATCGTGGCACAACTTCCACCACTGCATCAGGAAAGAAATGCCAGGCCTGGAACTCCATGTTCCCACACAGGCACGAAAAAACCCCGGACAGATTCCCAGAGGCGTATGTTTATCTCAACTTTTCTTGCTTCATCTGACAATGACTATTGCTGATTGTATTATCTTTGCACATCTATGCTTTAAAACCCTGCCAGGGAATGTATCTATAGAAGAGAATTTTTCCAAGACCCAAAACCACTTTCTGTTAATCTAATTTTAAAAAACTCATTATCTTGTTATGTAAATTGCCCGAGGACTGGAGAAAAGCGAATATC